TCATGCTTTGGAAGTGTTTCTCTGTGAATGGAACAGGAACTTGCTACGAGTTAATGGTATAATTCAAAAATTAATTGTGAAATATTGGATATATTTGAGGGTCTATATTACAAATCTGAAACTGAATTATACTTGGATTTCAAAATTAATCTAGAAATATCATAAGAGTAGACATATGAATGTATTATAACATAATCTTGGCCATCACAGAATACTGACTTGAATCAAATTGAATACTTATTAGATGACTTGAAAAAGATGAGTAAGAACCAGAAAATCAATTATTCTGCAACATTTTTAAGGTGAGGCATATGAAGTGTTGTAAAATATATCAGTAAATATTTGAGCAAATTTATTAAGAGGTTAAAAAAAATACATTAAAAAGTTATGACTAAAAAAGAGATTTAAAACTGGTAAAATATTTCCCTAACTATTAATATATATGAGTGGACAGTAATATCAACACCGAGTGGCCACAGTCTGTCCCGTGCCTGAACACAATTTTCAGGTCAGAAGATAGCGTTGAAGCATAAAAGAGAATGTCCCCACATATTTATACACGGCCTATGTCGGGTATTGAGCACTTGTACTCATAAATATTAGTATAGCTTAAAAGTATATTTTATAATACACACACACACACACACACACACACACATATATATATATATATATATATATATATATATATATATATATATATATATATATATATAAAAAGGCTTAAACACTAATATTCCATGGTCATAATTTACTCCATTGGAATCGTAAAAACGATCCAATTCATCAGACCTACAAATTCAAAAAGAAAACAGAAAAAACAACTCCGGAAAATAAAAATAGAATTTAGAGAGAGTGTATGTATGAGAGTGTGGGGCGAATCTTTGAGCTAAAGAGAGGGGTAACAGACGAGATATAGAGGGAGATTAAACCTTAACAGAGAGGAGTTTAGGAGAGGTGAGTGGAAGAAGTTTAAGTGAGAGAAATATGAATGTTGTCGGATGTCTAATACATTAAAGATACACTTCGTGGTGACATGTCACCACGAAATGTATCTTTAATGGAAAGGTATGATTCCATCTCTTCTACTCTCCCTTACCTATTTGTAAATATCAAGAGAGACTGTGTCTTGGATGCCAACCGGTCTAGAAGGTCAATTCTGAATTCAAAACCTGAGCAGGGTTGTTTGGGGACCTTATGGCACACAGTTCTCTGTATTTGACTTTTACAAAAAGTGTGACTAGTTCTGCACAAGTCTTTACCAATATAATCAAATCACATGCGTAGATAGTCTAACTTTTCGGTTCTAAGAACTGAATTGCTGTGTCCTCATTCATCGAAAATGACAATAAAGTACAATATAATTTATATAGTTATTTTTCAGTCGTTTAAAACTATTAAACATTAGATATTAATAATAATAATAATAATAATAATAATAATAATAATAATAATAATAATAAATAGGCCGGGCATAATTGTCAAAAACCGAAAAGAAAAAACTTCCCTACTAAATAATATGACTTGCCCAGCGGACTGTATCATAGTAACCAAGAAATTTGAAAGAAATTATCGAAATATAAAGACCTGGAATTCGAAATAGAAGAAAATGTGGAAATTGAAAACAAGAATAATACCAGTTACAGTAGGTGTGCTTGGAATGATAAAAAAGGAAGACAACAGCATATTGAAAAAATCCCAGCTTAAGAGAAATATTTTTAAAAAAATGCCTTGATAAGTACAGTACACACACCAAGAAGAAATTTGTCCATGTAACATTAGTGACGTTATGGGGATTAGAAAAACAAATCATGAAATATAGCTATAACTCACCACTTAGGTCTTTCTAGAGACTTGGTAGATAATGTGGCCATAGCAGAAATCGAAATAATAATAATAATAATAATAATAATAATAATAATAAATATTAATCATTTTTCTTTATATCTTTATCAATATCATATCAATAGTTAGCTCTATTCATCAGAACATATTTGCTACTCGATTATCTTAGTAATTACTTCTATTGAATTTAAAAATAAACATTCAGCTTGTGCCATTACTTTTACAGTGTATCGTACACACACTAGAGCGACATTCGCAGACACATACACGGCTTTACGAACTACATGCGTGTCTTCGTGCATTTGCAATAGTGTTTTTGATTGTTTTAATCATATTATATATCGTGACTTACTAAATGTAGCTTAGATGTGACAAAAGGCCGCAAGCATGGAGCACCCGGTTAGGATCGACCTCATTACTCAGTCGTAACTACCCTAGCGAGACAAACTCGCTGACCGCCGAAGTGCTTCAAATCGGATTATATATATATATATATATATATATATATATATATATATATATATATATATATATGTGTGTGTGTGTGTGTGTGTGTGTGTGTGTGTGTGGATATTATCAGAAACACACACACACACACACAGGCGTATATAAATCATGTAAATGTACATGACTCATAAGGGTTGGTACAAATTTTAAGTGCTTATACACTTGCTTGGGACTGGATATATATATATATATATATATATATATATATATATATATATATATATATATATATATATATGCCACAGATTTCATGACTCATAACTGCTCGTATAAATCCTTGGTTCTGATATACAACACAGTGGAAAGAGAGGAGGGACGTTATAATAATTTAGGCATTGTAGAATATTTACTTTCTCCCTCTTTTCTTTACTTCCTTAAGCCGTAGGCTGACATCTGGAGAATAATTACCTACAAATTAGGCCAAGTAAGCCTCAATGCCCTGTTATTAGACAACCTACTCCAGGTGAGGAGGTAGCACCCAGAGAAACCTTCCTTTAAGCTTGCATAGACTTAATGAATAGAAAACAAGGGAGGATGAGACTTTGCTTAACCACTCTCCACTCCTGGGAGCTGAGAAGGGTGAAAGGCTCATCACGCCACCCCCGAAAACGACTAGAAAAATGAGACAAAATATCCCTAAGCCCAAGAAATAGTGAAATTTTCCCTCCTACATATGAGAAGGTAGACGAGATTTTATCCTGAGATTATCGGTATCGTTGCTAAGACACATTTCCTAACAAGAAATGCACATGAGTCGGTGAAATCACACACAGACACACAATCAGAGATACACAGACATAAAAACACAGTCACAGACACACACATACACACAAACACAAACAGTCGTATTGGAATCCAAGTCGTTTTTTTATTTAAATCACTTAACCCTGGAAACGATATGGATCCATCTACTCCCAGCTATGGGTTAAATAGTATGGGTTGTATATAGAAAAATAATTGTCATTCTCCAAAAATTGTTAATGCAATAATCACTAACTATTCTTACAACCAAAATATATTTCGACTTTAAATAACGATAAAGGGTTGATAAGATGTAAAAACAAATCAGTCATATATATATATATATATATATATATATATATATATATATATATATATATATAAAAAGAAAGAACAGTAAGATATGTAATCCTGTGTTCTTATTGATATTTTTATTTTTTACAAAATAGTGGTCAATGTAAATTTACAGAGCATTAATATTATAAATTAACTGATTTACAATGTGTTTTTCGCTACACAGTAATAACCATGTTTCAAAAATTGAAGTTAAATTTTTTTAATTTTATTTTGTAATTAAATTAAAATATATATATATATATATATATATATATATAGAGAGAGAGAGAGAGAGAGAGAGAGGCGGATATGCAATATAATTGGCCCTGTTCTGGCATCTTGTCTACAGTCACTCTCTCATAGACGCGCCGTCGCCTCTCTGTCTTTTTTACAAATACTTTCATGGCAATTGCTCTGAGAAGCTGCATTCACTGGTTCCCAGACTTCATGAATTCAAGCGCCCTACGAGGCTGGCATCCCGCTCTCACCCTTTCATTGTCGAAACTACTAAAGATAGCCGTCTCTTCTACTCCAATAGCTTCATGTCTCGCACCTCTCGCCTATGGAACTCCCTTCCCTATTCCAGTTTCCCTGACAGCTATAATCTCCAACTATTCAAATGTAATGTCAATTGATATCTCCAGTTGTCTTGATCTATCCACTATCTTTCTCCTCATCCTTTCCTCTATCACTCCTATCTGATCTTGCTCCAAATCTTCTGTAACCCCTTGCGTCCTAGTGGCTTCTCGCCTTGCTTGGGTGAAACGCTTAATATATATATATATATATATATATATATATATATATATATATATATATTGCTATATGTTTAGATTGCGAAGAATCGCCTAAAAAACTGATGGTTGCGTCCCTTTTTCAATTCTAAATTACAACCTCGCTTTGAGTCAGAGACATTTCTTCTTTTATAATATATTATAATTTTATCATATCTATAATAATAATAATAATAATAATAATAATAATAATAATAATAATATACTGGTATGGATTCACTACTGCATAACGTCTCTTTAAAATTTTACCTCTCTTATAGCCTAATCTACCTTCTGAAAATAATTGGGCGTCATGCACAAATGGGGTAATTTTTTTTAACATCTCTGCTTAGTAGGAGTTAATTAAATCAAATTAATTATCAAACGTACTAATTATTAAATCCAAAGTGTAGTGTAGGAGGGTAGTTCAAAACTTTTGGGCTATAGTGTGAATATATATATATATATATATATATATATATATAAAACGAACCTTGTGTGTTTAGCCTTCTCTCTCTCACTCTCTCTATCTCTATTTATCTATCTATTTCCCCTTTCTCTCTCGTTCTCTCTCTCACTCTCTCTCTTTTATATATATATGTATGTATATATATTTAAAAACACCATACGCGCACTCGCACACACACACACATATATATATATATATATATATATATATATATATATATATATATATATATATAGAGAGAGAGAGAGAGAGAGACAGACAGACAGACAGACAGACAGAGTAATACAAATAAATCATATTTGTCACTTAGTTTATATATTCAGCTTCACCCGGATAGATAGATAATGAACAGGCTCACATAGATAGATAGATAGATAGATAGATAGATAGATAGATAGATAGTGTATATAGGAATCAACACTGCATGAGGGCTGTCAGTTTCACGCTTCAATACGTAATGCTCTAGCTATCCGATATTGATCACTTCCCTATGAATACAGCAAATTTACACACACACATATACACTCATACATCCACACACACACAGACACACACACACATATATATATATATATATATATATATATATATATATATATATATATATATATATATATATATATATATAGAGAGAGAGAGAGAGAGAGAGAGAGAGAGAGGCACCTCCAACTGTGTAATGGTTAGCAAGTTTGTCTCGCTAGAACAATTACGACTGAGTATTGAGTTCGATCCTGACTGGGTCCCTCTACTTTTTAGATAGCGTATTGTGACGGATTCGAGATATTACATAGTTTGTGTTCTTTCATGTCTTTTAAAAATGAATTTATGTGAATGGATCATGGTGAAAAAAAAAATAAAGATTGCGCGCAAAATAAATGTAAACAAACTGCAGAGATCAATTGCGTAGACGAAGTAAGATTATTCCGAATTAAGGTGTTGAACAAAGATTAAAGAATTTTATTATTTCTAAATTCTTATAACTTTTACTTACATAGGACGCTAAAGGTAAAAGGTCGAAGTCCAAAAGTCCTCCGTCAGGAGCTAGCCTAAAGTTCGCCCGAAGGGCGGGTTCTAGGGTAGATTATAATATATATGACGCTACCGACTGTTGAAAAGGTATCAGCCGACTTTCAGAATGTTCTTGTTATAATGACTTAACAATTCGTAAGATATTTATCAGACCACACATAATCTAGTGTCAGAAAATTTGGTGTTAAATCGAATAAACCTTCAGTATATATATATATATATATATATGTGACCGGTTTAGAGTTGCCATTGACAACAATTCTAATATCAATAATATATATATATATATATATATATATATATATATATATATATATATATATATATATATATATATATATATATATATATATAGAGAGAGAGAGAGAGAGAGAGAGAGAGAGAGAGGGAACGCTGGTTCGAATCCTGTCGGAGGGTGCATTTTTCTAACAAGATTTCTCGAATATTCGGGCCGGTTATAAAAATATACTGCTATAAAAAGGACCATCAACTCAAATACGAGTTTCGATTAAAATTAACGTTTAAACCAATAAATTAAAAATATATTGGATTTAAGCCATTTACTTTTTTATATATATATATATATATATATATATATATAGGTTTCGTTATATTCACTTACGTACAAATTCCCTTGAGAAAGGCATGAATCATACAGTCAGTTATGGGTTAAGTAGTAGGACTTGTATCAATAACTCATTATTATATATACGCATGATTGCTAATTGCTAAAAAGCAATTATTCAAAAATTTTGTGCTGTAGTTTGAAAGGTGTTATAGCTATGCATATATATGCATACATCCATATACACGAATGCATATATATATATATATATATATATATATATATATATATATATATATAGAGAGAGAGAGAGAGAGAGAGAGAGAGAGAGAGAGAGATGGAGTAAAAACTCTACAGTTTTTAAATTTTTTTCTGTTCACTTTACTTTACTAACCCACTCCTCTCTTCAAAAATTAGAACATGTCATATTTGTCTACAATCACGTTACATTTGTCGCTGCCATATTCTCCGCAATTGTCAACGATGCCATGTCTAGGTTCCGGTTTATCGTGACATGAAAAAATAACTCACCCACTTCCACCTTCTGGGCTTACTTTTCTATTTAGCGTAGATCTGACATTTCTTTCGTTAATCAAGACATGCCCACAAGTCTATTTTTATTTCTTACCTTATGTTCCCCCTCCCTTTAACTTCCAGAAAAGAGGTTGCACTTTGTTTTTAAATTTCCTTAAAAATCATTTAATCACCAGTTACTTACCATCGCCTGAAGAAGTACAATCATAGTATTGAAACATGAAAGCTTTTGTGTAGCGATTTCAACATGTTTTTATTATAATCTCTTATAATAAAGATAATGCTATCTAAATTTTCTATATATCAAGAAGAGTATTAGAGGAAAGATGTATGACAAAGTGGAAAAAAAATTGATGTGACGCGTTCCGTCCCTTAGAAATTCATCTGAATGGGTTTGTTTACATTGACACGGCTACGCATGCGTACGAACGAGAGACACTGGGAATTTTAAATTTAGAAAATCTTTTTTTTATTATGTGTTTTGGGCATATAATCTAGCCAATTTCATCGAGATACTTTTTATTTCCATCATCTTTATTATTAAATATCCCACATTTTCGACAAGATCTGCCAAGAATGATGAAACGGAAATTTACTGTGGATGATCTTGCGGTTAAAGCATTTTCTAAAAAAATTCGTCTTAGTGAATTATTTTCTCTTTTAATGAGAGTAACTTTTTTTTAACTCAAAATTGTGGTCAGTCTCGTTACGGTGAGCAACTATTGCGTTTAATCTGTTGCTTTTATAAAATGTCTCTTTTGTGTTCTTATAAACTTTTATTTAAACTTCTTGAGGTTTCTCCAATATATTCTTTCTTGCAATCTTTGCTGATGATAGAATAAATTCTTCCTTCAAGTTTTGGCTTGTTTTGTTTTGTATTGATTAAGTCTTTTATTGTTTTAAATGTAGGTGTGATAAAGTTTATGTTGAATTTAGATAAGCTATTTTCGATTGTAGTTGTTAGTAGGTAGAATAATATATATATTTTTTATTCGTTGGGTTTGTCTTTTCTATTTTGGAATATTTTATGAACCATTTGTTTTGTCTTTTCTTTGAAATAGGGTATTGAAGTATCTTGAAAGTATTTTCAATATGTTTTTTCTCTTCGTGAAAATACTGACGGCTGCAAATTCTGAGTGCTCTTAAGTAGAATCCGATGATCATTCTGGTTATTATTTTGTTGTTATGATGAGAATAGAAGTTTATGAGCTCATTTTTATTAATTTATTTTCGGTGGACACTAAGTTTTAAGCTGCTGTCAATGCGGTGTAGCACAATATCTAGGAAAGATAAAATATTGTTTCTTCTATTTCGTATGTAAATTCTATTGTATGTTCGAGTTTGTTTAGTTTATCTACAAGATCAGGTAAGTCAGCATCATCAATATTTGGAAGTATGTTGATTGTTTAGGTAAAGTATTTTGGGAAGGACGAGATAAGAGAAATTCTAAGAAATTACATGCCATCACTCTGCTTTGGGATATTTATTGTTAAGATGATAGAAATAAAAAGAAAAAGAATCTAAATGAAACTGACAAGATTGTATGCCGAAAACATGAAATTTCTTTTTTCTAAATTTAAAATTCCCAGCATTCCTTGTTCGTGCGCACGTGTAATCGCCTCAACGCAAACAAAGCCTCTCCTATAAAGTCCTAAGGGACACACACACACACACATATATATATATATATAGAGAGAGAGAGAGAGAAAGAGAGAGAGAGAGAGGCAGAAAGAAAGAAAGAGACAGAGACGGACAGAAAGAAAGAGAGAAAAAAAAACGAGATACACACATTTTGTAGTCATGATTTTTCTTTATTTATATTGTACTTTTGCACTTATATTTTTAGTTATGTCTGAATTTTTCACACACGCATACAAACACACACACACACACACACGACATATCTATATATACATATATTTAAATCAGGTGTATTTCGGCAGCAATAACATGCTCAAGTTCAGTTTATCACTTTTTTTTATTTAATTTGGAAATTTGAAAAATTAAATCAACAGTCGCATATTAATTTATCAAGTAATTCTATACGTTTAACGCCTGTGCTGCCATTGACTGCAAATCTACGGGTCATGAACCATTTATGGAAAATAATTTCTTAATTTTTGCTTCTTCTCTTCGTTTAAATTTAAAGTAGGTCATATTCGATTGGTTGATCTGAGTAAAGCCCACAAGCCTTTATAATCCCCCCATTTTTTTTTTCTTAAAAGAGGTTGTATTTTGTTTTTAAATCTAAATCGTTCACTTGCCAGTAATTTACAAACGCCTGATGAGATGTATTTGATACGCATCGAAACACGACTAGAATTTGATGTAAAATCCTAAAATAAATATATATATATGTATATATATTGTTTGATTGATTATCCAGAAAGCCATGAAAGAATAAAATTCTTTGTTATATTTTAAGATATCATATAAGTGCTTATGTGCGAACGCTTGTGTATCTGAGTTTGATGAATAGAATTGAGACTATACTAATAAGCATTTCTCCTTTGATTTCTACATGTGTTCAAGAAAAAAAATCACTTCTTACTCTTCTTAATTAGTACACACACAACAACAAGCCAGAACATTATTCATTACTGCTTGCAGGTGAATGTACTGGGTTCTAGCTCAGTTGGTTCGACTGGAAATCACAAGGTCCACAGTTCAATCCCTGGTGTCAACTACTCAGCGTAAGTCTTCTTCTTCTTCTATGTGCCGTGTCCCGTCAGGACGTAGGCGATCATGGCTCTCCATTAAATTTCTTAGCAATTTTTCTCTTTACGCTATCTCTCCTAATCCATGTTCTGCCAATCCCGTTAGATAGGTTATTCGCTGCTTTCCACCGTCTTTCTTGCGTTCAATATGTCCTGTGAGTATCAGATTTTCTAAGCCCTTTTGTCTCATTAAATGTCCTAGAAATTTCAACCTTCTTTCCGATATTAAGTATAAGTATCTTTTTGTCTCCATTTTCTTTAAACTTCCTCGTTGTTCACATGTTCAATCTATGGCATTATCAGCATCCTTTTGTAGAATCACAATTCTGTCACCTCAAGATTGTCTTCATCTGTGAAAAGATTGTACAGCATTCACTACTATATAGGAGGACCGATATTACATAACAGTTTAGTACTCTTTGTTTCTAACGGAATTTTCCTGTTTCTTAATACTTTGCTTAGCTTTTGGAAGGCAACTTTCGTTATCCCAATACGCCTTCGAATTTCGGTATCGCAGTTTCCGTCCTCTGTTAAAAAACTTCCTAGATATTTAAATTTTTGTAGTTGCTTTATTTTGGTGTTTCTAATTTGTAATTAGCATGTTGAGTTGTTCCTTTTAATGACAACCCTACACAAAGAAAAGTGAGAAGAAAAGACTAAGCATCAATTGTAAGAAGACTATGTATGGATGTCAGCAAAAGGAACAGCCTAGGATACGAACTACAAATTGGAAATATCAAAATCCAGCAAGTAAAGAACATTGAAACATAGGGCAAGTGTTTAAACAGACGAAAAAAAATGTGGTACCGAAATACGAAGGTGCATTGAAATAGCAAAAATGCCTTCCAAAAACTAAGTAAAGTATTAAGAAAATGGAAAGTTTCGCTAGAAACAAGGGAAAGAATGCTCAACTATTTGGCAGTCAATAGCGAACACTCTCCTCACAGATGAAAAGGAGATTTGACGCAACTGTGATGTAGCTCTACAGAAGGATGCTGAGAATACCATGGATCGAACACATTTCTCTTGCCTCAAGTCTCTTCTTCATCTGTCAGAAGATTGTCTAGTATTCACTGTCATATAGGAGGACAGATATTACATAAGAATTCTGTACTCATTTTTTTTTTTTTTTTTTGTATCTAACGAAATTTTCTTGTTTCTTTGCTCAGCTTTTGGAAGGCATCTTTCGCTATCTCGATGCACTTTTGGATTTCAGTGTCGTATTTTCGTCTTCTGTTAAAACACTTTTTAGATATCTAAATGCTTGTATTTACTTGATTTTTGTGTCTCCAATTTGTAATTCGCATCGTGGGCGATTTGAACATACCTTTCTGTCTTTAATGTATGACTAAGTTCAGAACTTCATAGAATTATAGGTAAATAAAAAACGGTGCCGGATTCTTTGGGATATTTTATATATTGGAGAGTAAAATG